CTTTTACGTTTCTCTGACACTCAGGGTACCTTTACTCAGTAAATGAGAGCATTATTATATAATATCTTGAAATTTACTGAGTTTTATTTATTTATTTATTTATTTATTTATTTATTTATTTATTTATTTGTTTGTTTGTTTGTTTATTTGTTTATTTATTAATAAAAAATAAGATACAACATCCCCCAGCCGATCTCGGGATTGTTTATACTTTTGACCGCTAGATGTCCGATGGCAGCCTTCTAAGACAAGCTAATGTTTTACTGTTACTTTGAAGATGTATTTGAGTCAAACTAATTAGTAAAGTTCAAAAGCAAACTTTGCTTATGTTTTGACTGATTTTATTGTAGATAAATGATCATCTGCGGCCGAATGAGGCCGTGAAACGTCATGTCTTGTGAAACTTTAGGGAATTTTACACCTCCTTTTCTTAAAGAGTTCTCTTGTGCGTCGACTGCCGTAGGCAAACCAAGCAAGGACTTTACATTTTCTGTTGAGATTCTTTGTGAAACACTCCTAGTCAACTGCAGCGTACTTAGGTCACTCAGCTCGGGTTAGTCAACTAGGAATTTAAGATTCTTTCTGAAACGGGGGCCTAAAAAGCCTACGATAAAATGTTTGTCGGACAGCAGTGATGACGGCATCAGTATTTGGGGTGGAATTCACATTGTACCAAAACATCAAAGGTAATCATCTAAGGACACGTTATCCATGTTCTGGAAACAACTTGCCATTTGTCGGAGGGCACCTCAGGAACAACTTCATGTTACAAGATGAGAATGTCCGTCCAAATAGAGCACTTATATTCGCAGATTACTTGGAGAACCATGGGAATGTGCAGCCATCAAGATAGAGGAGACCGGAGCTAGTTGGATCCCGGGGTAAGTTGGCCCCCCATCAGTTTATGACAAAAGAACTATGGGGTTAAAGAATTGATCACATCATTTTGTAAAGTGACCGTATCCAATAGTGCTAAGAAAGCGTCGGCAGTGAGTCCAAATAAAATTATTTAGCATCTTAAAGTAACTTTATTAAAGAGACTTGATGGGTGGGGGGGGGGGGCAACTTACCCCGGGGTCCAACTAGCCTCGGTCTCCCCTATCCAGACATGAACCATATAGACGATCTGTGGGTACTCATTTCATCAACGTTTCACTTGTCATACAACAAACCTGAACATCGGATAGGCTCTGACCGATGTCTGGAATTTTATTCTAGATCAAACTCTAAGAAACCTGTCAGAAGGAATGCCTCGCCGCTTTGGTGCCCTGGTTACAGCCAGATGAGGCAGGACGCGTTTAATGGCTGTTTCATGTCTTGTATTCAACCATGTATTTTTGCTTGCTTAAATAGGGATATTCAGGGGCCGGTTTCACAAAGCAGTAGTTAGTTAGCGATCGGTAGTTAGCCTCTCGCTAGTTATAGTGCCGTTTCACGAAGCAGTCGCTAGTTCTCTCGCTCGTTATTGTCTCGTTGTTGCCTTGGATATTTAACGACTGGGGCCGGTTTCACAAAGCAGTAGTTAGTTAGAACAACTAACTACTGAACTACCTCGCTAACGAGCAAACTTAGCGATTTTCGAGGGGTGTTTCACGAAGCAGTCGTTAACTCATCGCTAAGTTCAGTCGTAAAGTTCGGTCGTTAGTTCTCTCGTTACTCTCCGTAGTCTCGAAACCGTCTGCCGGAAGTGGAACTCTTGCGTAAAAGTGTCACGAAAGCACTAACTCTCCAATTTNNNAGTGCCGTTTCACGAAGCAGTCGCTAGTTCTCTCGCTCGTTATTGTCTCGTTGTTGCCTTGGATATTTAACGACTGGTCAGACCAGTCGCTAACTCTAGAGTTTCATCGTACGCATGCGTAATGAGTGAAATAAAAAGGTTACTTAGTTACCGTTGTCTGTCGTTTGTCTTTGTATCCAATATGGCGGCTACTTTTCTTGCTATCCGTACCGCCAGACGGCAACGTAGACTACGACGTTTTCATGAAAGACAGAATCTATTAGAATATACACACGATGATGCAATTTACGAGAGGTTGCGCCTAGCTGTGACAAAAAGAGCGGCAAAAAGGTGGTGGAGATCCTTTACGACGACCTCAAAGCAGACGTTCTTATGCATTTTGAGCCACCAAAAATTGGAGAGTTAGTGCTTTCGTGACACTTTTACGCAAGAGTTCCACTTCCGGCAGACGGTTTCGAGAGTATAGTGAGTAACGAGAGAACTAACGACCGAACTTTACGACTGTACTTAGCGATGAGTTAACTACTGCTTCGTGAAACACCCCTCGAAAATCGCTAAGTTTGCTCGTTAGCGAGGTAGTTCAGTAGTTAGTTGTTCTAACTAACTACTGCTTTGTGAAACCGGCCCCAGTTTAAGAACTAATGTCACAGTGTCACTGGCGACATTATCAGATATTTTTAAAACATGATATGAATCTTTGTTTTCAATTTTCAGGCAAAAAATAGGGAAAATCGAAGAGGAATGAATTAGATATATATCCCATATCAATTTTCAAGTCTGTAGTTGGTATATAACGACGTTGCATGCTGCTAAACACATGCAATTCCACTGGAAGGGCAAGGTATCATACTTAATAACAAATGAACAGCAATAATATTCTTTTTACTTGACTTTAAGAAAAGAACCTTTGTGAAAAAGGTTGTCGCCGATCATCATTCTGAAAAACCACTAAAATAATGATGTACATAAGCGTAAAAAGACGTTTGGTGAGTTATCAACCAATATTTCGTAAATCCTTGATAACTGAGGGAAATAGGTGGAATTGCCAGAAACTCAGCTAATAAAGCTGATGCCCCAAGATTTTCCCAGTCAAACAGTAAAAGTGAGTAGTTAGCCTTCTTCAGTTTTTTGTAGGACGTGGCTGTCTGTAAAAAGAACGTCGCACAACGTCAGGTCCTCTTCAAGAAGTTCTCTGAAACAGGTAATTGGGTCTTTGCCAACTGTTATCAGTGGTATTGAGACCCAGATTCAATATGTCATCTCTTGTTTTTAGTAAAGCAGGAAACCTAAACAGAGTTACCCCTGGTATATACCACGAGTTGATTTGTAATGGCTGGAAACAAGGATTATGACGCCCTACCGTTCATTTTCAAAAATTAATCAAAGTGCAGAAAAAGGGTTTTCGTTGACTTAGTTGATTTTCTCCCAGTTGGGTAAAAGGTCCTACAATGTAGTTAAGTACATGTATAAGGTCCTACACTGTAGACAAATACGTATAACAGGGGCCTGTATAATATAGCGATTAAAACAGAAAATCGGTTTTAGCAAAGACTGCCAAGACGGCAAAGGCTGCTTAGAACTTAAGCCAAGTTGCGCTTATCTTCCTTTTTACCCATAAACCAAATGGTGTTTGTATTTACAACATGGATTTCTTTGAATATTAATTATTGGTCATTTATTCAAAGAACTTTCCTAGACCAATAACACAAAGTCGACTTTAGGTAGATTGCTGTCCGCTTGTAAAAGTTTTAGAATTACTCGATGTATGTAAACACAAAACAAACCTAGCCTCTTAATTTTTTTATTATCTTACTTTTTATTACAGTTCGTCGCACAATGTGTGGGATTTGGGCAATATTTGGCAGTGAAGTAAATGTCTCAACGCTGTGGCACAATTCCTTGAAGATTGCCCATCGTGGTCCTGATGCTTTCCGGATTGAAAATGTCAACCATCTGAAAAACTGCTGCATGGCCTTCTACCACTTGGCTGTTGTTGATGACACGTTTGGTATTCAGCCAATGAGGCTCCACTCTTTACCTCATTTGTGGATGATTTATAATGGGGAGATTTATTACCAAAAGCTGGTAAGATACAATATTATGGTAAATTTATAAAATCTATTACTTCCGCCAACGACGAAAATTTGTCCGTATTCTGTTTTTAGTGGATAAGATATGTTAAAAGGTTCTTCACAAATTCACAAAAACAAACGAAAAAAAATAATATTCCGAACTGGATGTTATTCGGGAGGGTAAGAAGTATAGCACTGCAGTGTACACTGAACCCGAGTTTCTAATATATTACAGGATTTTATTGCTTCTATAGATTTTAAGCGATTGACGCTAAGGCGTTACGGATGAGCTTTTTTCTGCATTCTTTAAATTTGTGTTTCTTTGTTTCTTTTCATATAACATCAAATTTCTCTGATATATTTTCCTTTAAGATCCAGCAACAGTTTGGCTTTGACTTCGAAACAAACAGTGATGGAGAGGTCATCTTGCATCTGTACAACCATGGCGGCATAGAATTTGCCGCGCAGCACCTTGATGGGGTCTTTGCATTTGTTTTGCTTGATACGTTGAAGAGGAAAGTCTACGTGGGCAGGGACACGTTTGGTGTACGTCCAGCGTTTTGTTTGGTGGAGGATGGTTTTCTGGCTGTTTGCTCTGAGGCAAAAGGTGCGTATTCTGCGCGCGCACGCGCACACACACGCACGCACATCGTTTGTAGCAATTTCGAAGGTATGTATGAAGCTTTCGTGTGAGCGATCAATCAGGAAAGGTCTAGATGTAGACAGCACACACACATACACACGCACACACACACACACACACACACACACAAAAAATGTCTATTGATTTTAATTAAAATTACATTGTAGGGCTGTTGGGTTTGGCCCAATGCAGTAATGACCAAAGTGTGGACATCCAACCCTTCCCACCTGGCCATGTAGAGACATATTCCCTGGACCAGGGCGGAAAGGCCAAGCTTGAAGAGGTAAAGAGGTTCCATCAGATCGGTGACATGCCTAAGTATAAGACTATGGCTCCAGCACTTGGTAAGTAGGGGGATACGCATCTCTCTCTCTCTCTTTCTGTACAAGTGTGTGTGTGTGTGTGTGTGTGTGTGTGTGTGTGTGTGAGAGAGAGAGAGAGAGAGAGAGAGAGAGTTTCACCATTTTGCCTGTGTTTGCTTGACCAGTTGTTTTTATTTTCGGTTCTGGTTATTATCCAATTTCTTGATTTATGCATTTTTTTAAATCCAAGTGATGTAGCATATTCTGTTAAACTAGTAGCATGTTTAGCAATGCATGTAAAGGAAACTAGAGACTTCTCAATCATTTTTGCTCTGAATTTGCCTAAATATGTTTTACTTGCAGTCGACAGCATATCAACCAATATACGTAACTTGCTGGATGCAGCAGTGAAGAAAAGACTAATGGCGAATAGGCCTATAGGTTGTTTACTATCCGGTGAGTTGTCATAGTTTGTTATGTAAGCTATTTTTGTGGATTTAAGATGTCAAAAATGAGATTAAGTATAACGTAGTGGCGAAGTCTTTCCCCCCAAAGATATGTAATTAAGGTTCGTTCCACAATTATAAGTGTGGATGACAATTTTCAAATCTTTTAATTATAATTTAAATCAAGATCTACTGCAGATTTTCGGGATACTTGTATGTGTTATGTCATAGTAAATGTTTTTGTGGTTATTAAAAATTGAACTACTAGTAAAGAAAAGGAAACGTAACACTTCCTTCCATCATTGCGCTTTTGAACTTATTATGTATTGAGCTTCAAACTCAAAAAAACTCCGTGAAAGTAATAACAAACGACACCATGACGCCTTGTTAGATAAACCACGTGTAGCAAAATACGAAGAGTCTTAGCATGTCCAGTTTTTATGAGTGACTTTTATTTCTTCACTTCCAGGCGGGCTCGACTCAAGTCTTGTGACTGCTCTGGTAGTAAAAAACGCCAAGGAAATGGGAATAAAGTACAAGATCCGAACCTTTGCCACTGGCATGCCTGGAAGCACTGATATAAAAGCTGCGAGAAAGGTGATTCACCTCCCCTTGCTGTCACCACTAAGTATACCGACTTTCCACTAGAAAATGAAATATAAAAGTACATTCACTTTGTACCCGTTGATGATTAGTTTCTATAATTTGCAATAATCAAGCCTTAAGCTCACATGAGTGAGTTGGTAAGGTTTAAAATGTAAGAACTAGTGAACGATCTAAAGAACTAAATATCGAAGTGAGATTGAATCAGAGCTTTCTTTTCCAAACAGCACTTGGCTGCTTTCTTTCTTGTGGTTAGCAAATCCATGTAGAGGAGATTGAACAAAAAAGGATACTTTATTATTTTAATTGTTAGGTTGCTGATTTCCTGGGTACCGAACACCACGAAGTTTTCTTCTCAGAAAAAGAAGGCGTCCAAGCGCTTGGTGATGTCATCACCTGCCTGGAAAATTATGACATCATAACAGTCAGGGCAGCTGTAGGTATGACATCACACTTTTTATTGACGTCAAAATATTTATAGCTTTATTATCGGGAACACTATTCCTTCTTCGTGATCAATTTAATTCTTCATTTGATTCGTCAATTTAGAGCACTGTGCCTTAATGCGTTTTCTGTGTCATTGTTTTAAATTTCGGTAGCCCCCACCATTATTTATTGTCTCTTTGTTTGAGCCCCCCCCCCCTCCAACAACTGTTTACAGAATGATGATCACAATATGTTCAGAGAATCAGTCACAAAACTTGCTTCATTTTGTTTCATAATATTAATAATCCTCAATATGCTATCCTATCTTACATAAATAATATTATACATACATGGGCCTTAAATACTCGTATATTTGTTAATAAATCTAGACATAAAGATATTTTCTTTTAAAGGAATGTACCTTGTCAGCAAGTACATCTCAGAGAAGACCGACACAGTGGTGATATTCTCCGGGGAGGGAGCTGACGAGCTGTGTCAAGGGTACATGTACTTCCATAACGCACCCTCAGCAGACGACGCTGACGTAGAGAGCAGACGACTTCTTGATGTCCTTTACCGCTACGATGTTTTAAGAGTGGACAGAACTACTGCAAGATGGGGGTACGGGGGCATTTTTTTTCACCAAAAATTTTGATTTTCTTTATATAGAGATAATGGCTGTCTATTCAGTTCTGACAAATTTAGTATTTTGTACCACAAATAACAATGAAAGAATCATGTTTGATTATTAGCTGGCTTCAGTTTTCATATAACTTCAGATCTGTAAAATCCGGAAAAGTAAGCTGTCTGTCGATTTTGTTCTTTAGTTGAAGCAAACTGCGGATTTTTCTATTGAAAAGATCTTCCCCGTATGTTCTCTCTGTTGATTTGTATTCATGACTTAAACTGCACAATATATATCAACCAGCGCACATTTGTCCCACAGGCTCGAAGTACGCGTGCCATTCCTAGACCACCAATTTACCAGCTATTACCTCTCCATCGACCCTAAACTACGCCAGCCAAAAGACGGAATAGAGAAGCATCTTTTGCGATCTGCCTTCGAAAACGAGCGTCTTATTCCTAACGATATATTGTGGCGCCCCAAGGAGGGGTTCAGTGACGGTGTGTCTTCTGAGAAACGATCATGGCATTGTGTTATTAAGGAATTTGTGGCTCCCAGGGTATGGCTTTTGTCTCCTTTAAAAATTTTAATTTTTATTTCATTGTAAGTGGCAGTATTGTAATTGTATCAACACGCGATTTTTTCGTATAATTAATGTAGCTACAGGTAACTTAAGTTAGATGTATTTGTAAATTGAACAAGCACAAACATAGCGAGAAAAGTACGCCATTACCACATGCTATATTGGTGGTGCAGTTAACTGATAATCTAATTGCAGGTCAATGATGAGGACTTGAAAAATGCGCCAAAGACTTTTCTCTGCAATCCCCCGAGTTCTAAAGAATCATATTTCTTCCGGCAGTTATTTGAGGACCAATTCCCGGGAAGGCCTTTTTGGATTCCATACTACTGGAGACCAAAGTGGTCCCAAACCGAGGACCCCTCAGCTAGAATGCTAAAACACTACAAATACATGTAAACTGTAACGGTACCCTTACATGTACACGTGTAGGCCAAGTAGCATACACATCCTGTATATGTATGATGTAAGTGTCGAAGTTGTGGCCCTGACACTGTAAGAAAGATAAACACTCTCATTCAAGCATGAGTATTACTGCAGGGGCGGATTTAGGCCGTCTTCTGGGTCTTCCGGAAGACGGTCAGATTTTCAAGTTACCATTGACGGGCATCTGTTTTATTCTGTCGGAAAACGGTCGGGGATGGCGCAATAAAGATAATTGGAAGACTGTCAGAAAATATCTCTGGATCCGCCACTGTATTACAACAATTATATTTGTGGTTAAGTTCTTTATGACTACCTGAATATGCACACGGGTCTTTGTAACTGGCGTTAACACACTAATTGCCTATTATTTATTACAATAAAATATTGATCTGTCTAACGTATTATTTACTGCACATCAACAATTCACAAAAGTCGTCAATATAAAATAGACCAATCATAAGTCAGCCAGCTGTACATTCCACGCACGAGTTCTCAAATAAATCAAAACCCCAATGACGTGATAAAGCGTGCATGTTGTAGTCTCTAAAATTATGGCCCTCCTCAAGATCAGCCTAGATGTCAAAATGTAGTGATACTGCAGGTGATACTGCAGGTGCTTGCCATGAAATGTGGCACTGACGCTGTAACTTTGTCTATTTTAATTGAACTGTAGACTTCTTGTTACACATGTATCTTTAAATTTTACATTAAAATTCTAGTATGCACAACATTACATGTATCAAGCAAATTTTAATTTTTCTGGTGGGAAATGCCAAAAGCAGTTTAAGCACTTGCCATACGCCGACCAGACATATATAGGTCCCAACAATGACCAGGCAGCATAACCCCGTGACGAACACAATGATATCAATCAGAAAATACTGGTACCATGTCAGTTTGTACTGAGGCTGAGAGTGGAGGAACAGAGTCCCGTTGTGACGTATGACGTAGTTTATCCAATACGACAACTCTTCATATCCCGTCCAGGGGGTATCTTGAAGAAGCACAGACATCTTTTGAGCGTTCTCTTTGTAAGATCTGTCCTTCAGAACTTTTTCGATGGCATTCTCTAAGTCGGTCTCGGTAAGGGTAAGGAACGAGACAGTCTCTCCCACCTTAGCGCGGTCGGTTAATTTTCGAGCATTCTGGTATTGGTCCCATAAGAGTGGCATGGCCACCACAGGTACGGCGTGGTATAGGGTCTCCCACGTGCTACTAACGCCACAGTGAGTGATAAACAGCTTGGTTGCCGGGTGGGCAAGGGCGTCGTTCTGTGGAATCCATTTCACAAGGTGAGTGTTGTTTCCAAGCGACCTCGGAGGGGGTCCTACGTAGCGCCATATTACCGTCTGAGAAAGTTTGGCAAATACTTTGGCGAAAATCTCCGCCTTGGCCTTCGGCAGAGTAGGGAATCCCGTACCAAAACTAACAATGATGACTCCATTTGTGGCAGATGTCATTATATCTTCTAACGGTTTAGAAAGCGGTTTTGGCGGGGTCCAGAGAAGACCGGGGATAGTCTGCACGTGCGGCATAATTGGACGCGGGTAGTCAAAGGCAAAGTGGGCGTGCGCAATAAGATGCATCGACACACGTTCGTGCGTGTACCTTAGGTGCGGCCAACTGGAATTTGGGAAATGTCTCAATTTTAAAACCTCAGCACGCGAAATGAATTCATCATACAAAAGGTTATCACTTATCATCATCCTTACGTTTTCTAGCCTCTCCCAAAATCCCATGTGGTCTGAAAAACGGCTGAGATAATGAGGGGTGTAAGCGTAAAAAGACGGTTGGTGAGTTATCAACCAATATTCCGTAAACCCTTGATAACTGAGGGAAATAGATGGAATTGCCAGAAACTGAGCTAATATAGCTGATGCCCCAAGATTTTCCCAATCAAAGAGTAAAAGTGAGTAGTTAGCCTCCTTCAGTTTTTGCAGGACGTGGCTGTCTTTAAAAAGAACGTCGCACAACCTAAGATCTTGTTCAAGAAGTTCCCGGAAACAAGTCACTGGATCTTTGCCAACTATATCCAGTGGTGTGGAAATTCCTTCTTCATCATGTTCGACGACGCTTGAATTCGATAGCACGGGAAGCCTAAACACGGTTACCCCTGCCATGTCATGGGTTGATTTGTAATGGTTGGCAACAAGCAAGGTGACGTCATGTCCTTCATTTTGAAGCCTGGCAGCTATCCTTTCGAGGTGCACATTTCTGGAGTTAAAGACGATTGTAAAAGGAAACAGAAGAACCTTTGCGGAATCCGTACCTTCGAAACACACGAGCACCAGCAAAAAAAGTGCAAATATCGGTAGTGTACGCTTCTTGACAGCCATATCAGTTAATGCCAGGTCGGCGGACCCCTCGTCAATTTATACGTAGGCCTAGTGATCTGTTTGAGATAAAAGTCGCCTTTAAACGAATAACTGTCCAGTCGAAACAATTTTAGATTTTATCTTGAAATACTATGACTGGCACGTTTTCTCAGATACCAATCTCTCATTGAGCGCGAAGGGGGCTGTCTAATTATCGACCACAAATGTCCACAAACGTCCACAAGCATAAAGTGGTGGGGAAACCAGTTAATATATACATACTTGGCATAAGAAGGTAAGTTGAGTTGGGTTGTGAAACAGCGTAAAGTGTTTTAATATATAGGCCTTCTATGCGATAACAGAGAGAAAGTGGTTGTATCCACACGCGTCAACGAAGACAAAACGCCTTTGAAAGCCCGATCTAATGCCAGGTTTTTAGCATCCACGTTTTCTTCACCTGAAAGTTGAAATAATATCTCACCCGGTTTCTTTTGTTTGCGAAGTTTCTGACACATGACAGACCGACATGACTTTGCACTCTGTTTAAGTTAAAGGTTTGTCCGAAAGAACCTCTTAATTATGGTTCTTAAATGTGTCTATCTAAATTCACAAAAATTACAAGAAACTTTAAACCCATTAAAATGTAATGATAGCCAGTGTCAGATTTGATGTATAGGTACATCTCAAGGGAGATATTACTGTCATTATTATTATTATTATTATTGAAATGAATTACAGCTGAAATTCAAGAGGAGGAATTTACTTCAAATAGTAGCTGTAATAGAAAATATATTTTCAAAGGGTATTAAATGAAAGTATTTTACAAAATTAGCATACTTCAAACAACAGAAATCAAAGTTGGAAACAGGCGTACAGTTTATGAAGCACAAGTAGTAAAATAATGACAACAATCAGATGTCTCGTCTGCCGTCATTGTGAAGAACTCCGCATTATTCACCCTATTTACTATAATGGTTATATTTTTACCGCTAAAGTTTATCGATAAAGTCAGTTGAACAGACAAAATCTTGTCTGATGGAGAGGTATTTTTTTGCTTGCTAGGCTATCAATGGTAATTAGCTTTTGCTAGAAAAAATTTTTTTTTAAATAATAATAAAAGAACTTAGAATTTTATATTTTCTGTCTCGGGTGCGAACAATTTTTTTTTTTTTTTTTTTTGACTGAACATTAAATAGGTCCATTTCCAACTTCTACTCGTAGACGAACATGAATTACATGACATTTTTCGCACCCTGATATCCCATTCTCCCCAGCATCCTTATTCTCACTTCGCTAATTCCCTACACCGTAAATACCTATGAAATTATCCCTATCCTAAACATAACCTTTAACTATTTTGCATATTAAAATTGGTTTTAAGTTGACACATAAAATATCTTCCCTCATATAATATCATTCAAACAAAGTTGCGCAGTCGAAGCACATGCGCAAATGAAGAAATTTTTGCCTTTGTGAATGATTGGAAAACGTTTTCTTAAGGCTGAGTTAAGAGGTTTCAGGATGGCATTAAAAGCGGATTTGAAGGTGGAAAGGAGACTTATAGTGAGAAATGACGACAGCAGTCTGGGAGCTTTCGACGTTTATTCACCGAGTACTTTTTCACGGAATCTGCAAGTATTTATACGCTATTTTCCCAAAGAATTTTACATTCTCATATTACAAAACGCTATTCAATATTTCCTAATTTAGTAATTTCAATGAGACTTGTTTTTAATTTAAAATATTTAAAATATTTTCCGAATTACTCATGCTTGGACCTTGTCCATCTCAAGTATGCATGAGTTTTACACGTGTTAGAAACGTGCAAATCTATAGAAAAATTTACCAATCAGATCCAACTATATGTGACTTTGAAATGTTCCATCCTTTCTTACTTCGAGAACAATCTCTACACTTACTGACACTTAAAGAAATTTACTTGCACTCATTAACTTCCTACACATTCGATTCTGTTTTAATTGTTTTGTAATTATCGAAAGTGTATGTCATTTGCTTTACAACATACACCCCTTCTTCAAAAGAATTCGTCCTCGAATTCTAAAACTTTACAACACTTCTTTTTGGCTACAATCACATATATTTTTACCAGTCTCGCACTGTCACGATTCCCTAGCATTATTTTAAAATTGCTCTGTGGCTCAACTGTCGCATTCCAAATCTACACAATGTACAACACAATAAGCGTATATAGATATATAAATCCATGTAATTGGGTCGAAAGCAATCTAACTAATATAAGCCCATGCTCCCTTCTGTCGCTGCAGGAGAGGATGAAAATGTTTCTAAAATATATGCGTAACTGTCCGATTTCTGATCCACTCTTTCCCATATGCAATAAAATTACATTATATCATCACTACTCTTTGAAAGTATGGCCATGTTTCGTCTGCGTGACAATAGTATTTCAGTCGCTTAACACAACTGCATCTGCATAGCACAATCAAATATTAAGCTGCATAAAGTTAGGTATAAATTTCTTCTAATCAAGCGGGTATAATATTGCTGATTATTCTAAAACATTTTTAAAGTCGGTTCTCTAGATTTTGTAAAAGGTGTCTAATACCATATTAAAATCTTTATTTTTACATTTATCCCATGTCATCTAAATCAGTTTGAATTCTCTGATTATCTGAACTAAAAATGGCCTCTGTCAGACGCTTCCAGAATAACAGTTGCCCCTCTCGGCTACCTGTCCACTTTATGTATCCCCTAGCCTTTATGTACTTCCGCAGTGATTTCGTCATACTGTCAAATGGCACAGGTTGAAACATCACTGGTATGACAGAGTTATACCCGCGAGCCAGTGACATCTGGAACTCGAACTCACACCATGGGTTGGCAACATAACTCTCCGAAAGCACGAGCACTGTCTTCCGACTGTTGTCCACGCCTTCAGCAATGGCTTCCGCTAACGACGCTCCGCCAATGAAGTCTCGCTGATCTATTATGACGTCAAGCTCATTCTCTTCTTCCAGGTGACGTAGCAGTTCGTTCATCACCCAGCAGTAGTCATTGTCGTCGTAGGAGATGTACACGTGACCGGGTGGGGTAGTGGTGACCCCTCGTTTGCGTAGCCGACGACGCAGAATGTACAAGCGATATCTAAGAAAAAGGTAAATAGAAAAAAACATATAGAGAACATCCCCAGGGCGCTAACCTAATCCTTTAAAATGTTATTTTCAGTTAAAAATGAAGTCACTTCTTTCCCTCATAAATCGTCTATCCTGATAATTTCAAAGGAATTTGTGAAAAACTGTATTAAATATTTATGCACGAACAATTTTAAAAAGACAAACAGTAACACTGAAATACCAGGCAAACAGGCACACAGAAAAAAAAAAAAAAGACAAGAAAGAGAAAGACAGATCGTAGGCCTACTAGTTGCAAAACGCGCCATCTGTTGAAAGAGTACACTCACTTGATATTCCATCGATATACGTACGCTGTTACCAATCCACACACTACTGCAGCACAGCTAAGTAGAGATACTCCGAGCGACATCCACTGGTTGTGCGAAACTATCAGCTGTTGAATTCTGTCGCATTCCTTGTGGATCCTTCTCAATATCCTTTTCACGTCAGTTTTAGTGCCATTTGTCGTGCAATTCGAGTCTTCTGAGAAGGTTACTGTCACGTTCGAGTCGGTAATCCACCTGAAGAATTCTGCCCCATCGCAACCGAGGCACGTGACCGGATTGTTGCGCATGTTCAAAACGACTTCAGAGCTGGAGTTAAAATATCCGATCAAGTCCAGTTCCTTGGACGAGAAAGCGCTCAGTTGGTTGACACTAAGATCTATGTATTCCACGGAAACCAGGTTTATCAGGCTAAAGGACACTGTTGCAAGACGATTTCCGCTCAGTTTCAGCTTCTTCAGGGCAACGAGAGAAGCAAAGAAGTCCTTTGGAATCGTCCTGATTTTGTTTTGTGATAAATCTAGGGTTTCTAAATTTGGAGTTTTAAAGGAAGACAGTCCCCCGTTCGAAATTAAAGACCCCAAATCGTTATTGCTTAGATTCAAATATGTCAGTGATGGAAAATGATTGAAAAAATTCTTTGGAGGAAAGTGCAAGCCATTTTGCGATAGGTCTAAATATTCCAGGCGGTCCAGTCCATAGATCTCTTGACATAAAATTTTGAACCCAATGTCAACTAATATCATGTAGCGTAGCTTATTTGGACCAATGACAATGCTTCCCGTTTCAGTGTCGCAATCGGAACTGCCGAAGTTCCACTTCAGAAACCAGCTTGTTGACCAAAATTCCAAATTTTCAGGCACACTCAAACGAATAATTGGTGACGGCATGCGATCGGTGGGTTTGCGTATAGTCTCACTGGATGTATTGGAAATTTGGTGGGTATAATCAGCATTTAGGGACGTTATTTTAGGGTGACCGTGCCAAAAAGAATGTGACAATGCGCACCGTGGTGGTACTCTATCATCATGAATAACATTGTTGTCCATTTTAACGTATTTCAGGTTCCATATTGGTAGGCTAAAAATTAATGCTTCTGGAATAATTTTTTGCACTCCATTGTAAGGAGCACGGAAAATGCTATTGTACGAAAGGTCTGCGTTTTCTAAATGAGAGAAATAGTTCATATTATTTAGGTCAAATTCATCTATATTATTATTTGTTAATTCCAATGTCTTTATAAGTTTTTGTTTCAAGCATTCAAAACTGTTTGCTTTAATCGTCCACTTTGGGGGCATTCGAATTTGGAATATATCATTGATGAGAAGATTTTCAATGGAAGTAGTTTTAAGATCGCATAAAAAATCCTCAACACTCTTCCCTGAGTGAAAATTGCTACACTCTAAAGCCAGGGTTTTTAAACGTGGGAATGACACCATGATGCCAGGTTCCACAGAGCCAATCCCGCAGATTTTGAAAGCCAATCGTTCGATAGGACAGTTTTTCAGCGAATCAAAGGTTAGTCGTTTGAGTTGCGTCCCATTTATCGAATTCGTCCCCTGAAAAGTTAGTGTTTTTAGGGACGTGAGATTGCTGTAGCCTGGCCCTAAGATCCAATTACCTTGGGGTGAGTAGGGAAGGGAAAGTTGCTCTAATCGATGTAAAGGCGCCATTGTACGGTCAATAAAATCTCGCTGGATGTGATTTTTGGTGTTCATGTTCTCCACTATAAGAACTCTCAGTTGTGTTAAATCGTAGAATAGTGACGGAGGTAGCGACTCATAATCGAAATTCATACCATAATACAGAGGGGACAAATCTAAATGCTCCAGCGCGGTTAAACCTGCAAAGCTATCCTTATCGAACTTTGCTACCATGTTGTTTCCTAAGAACAGAAACGCCAGTTGTTTTAAGTGGCAGAATGCTCGGGCTGGTATTTCCGAGAGTTCGTTGTTGCGTAGATCCAGGACGTTTGTTTGAAGCGGTATATCCCTGGGCATGTGACCAACCAAACGGTTAGAACAATCTACGGTCAGCGGCAGTCTTGCCGATGGCGTGTATGCACAGCGGCAAAGCACTGGGCACGAAACATTTCGTGGCATATTTTCTGTTGTGTTTGTGCTTGTATTACCGGTCACCGTCCATATAACATATACGAATAGACAGATGAAAGCCCGTCCTGTGGACGCACCCATATGCATTTTACTGGTTAGCGAATCGTTCTGTTACTGACCGTTAGTGTCCAACTTATCTTATTTGTACTGACCCTTTCGACTTTCTCGGGGGTTTCCCCTTCTGCCGGACTGAAGATTAATTCTGAATACTATCTTCATTGATATCCTGTTTTAACAATGATAAGCTATAAAACACCAAACGCTTGCAAACATTTGCGCCCAGGATTACCGTTTTTGTTGGACTGTTAATTTTCTCGGATCACACCTCAAAAGCAATACTCGTTCCTTCGTTCTTTTTTTTTAACAAAATGTATTTATAGGCATCTTGATTATTACAATCTTGACTTCTGATAAACGTGGCACTTCCAAATGACAACTTAAAGCATTAATTTCCGCTTGAGCTATGTCCACGGTATAGGGCTAACAATTTTAAATCATTCAGTCACTAATTGGGTATTTGTAAGTATTGGTTGTCCAGGGTATTTTGGGGGATCCCCTTCTGGTCATGCCTAGCCACTTGATTGGTCGTTCACTGCTGTCCTTCAGACAGAAGTACTCGAGACGCCCCCAACTGTGGTATTTCATTGGAATTGTTTGCGTTTTGCATCAAGGTTGTCTGACAGTAATTCGTGAGTAAATTTAATCTGTCTACTTAGCGGTGCAACAAAGGTCAAATCAATCAGGATGGATAGGATCAAGATCAAGCAATCATGCCTCTCACTTGGATCCATTGGCTACCAACGCATTAGCCCCCCCCCCCTCCCTCTCTTTCCTGTTCTGTAGCTTGTGAGAGACCTGAGTAACACCCCATTTCCATAGATTAGATCGACCTACTTTAGATCGACCTAACTCCCTGGGGGTTCACGCTAAATAGCTGTCAGGCGGGCGGACACGAAAGTTAATTATCCCCTTACAGCTTGTAGTAGGCGGGACGGACATTTAAGTCGGATTATCTGAAAGTAATCTAGTGAGACTCCCCGCGGGGATAGATCGATCTAAAATCTATGGGAATAGAGCCTAATATAGGCCTATTTATATAAATCTTTAGTTTTGATATTATACACGTTATCAAGTTGTACAATACCCATAGTTCTACATATGTGTTTTCTCGTATGCTTTTATTCCTTTGATTATACTGTAAATATTATCGAGCAACTGATTTATCTGTGAAAAGTTCGTCATGTCAATTATTCTTATATTCTTAAATTCAATTTATCTAATTTTTTTCTGCACTTTTACAAAGATTATTATAACCTTCGAATGACATTAGGCATGTCTATAGCTTTTATCATTTATAGAAACAAAAACAAATTAGAATGGACAGATATACTAGTTAAGTAAGTAGAAAGATATTCTAACTAAATGGTAAAATACATTCATCAGAAAACAAGCTAGGTCCTGGTAACAGGCCAGTTTCGCTAGGGAAAAAGAAGAATGGGAAGCCGTTGTGTTGACCGGTGTTAAGACGCGCCGTGGTTCGTATGAAATAACTTCCCTGGCAGCGGTTTACCTAGCTGTCCGTGTAAGATAAAAGAAGGAAGGAAGTGTGAACAGGTGCGTTAACGGCGTCTGTTCCTATACATTAGCAAGATAAACTGTTGCTGGGTACAACATATGATAAAGGATACAGGAAGTTAAGACAGTAAATATATACTTGCAATATTATGTTTCTGGATAAGATTGTTTACCTCTCCTCCACCATGGACATAATAAGAGAGGTCTAAGCCTCCACCAAAAGACGAAAATAAATTAAACAGAATAATAATAATAATAATAATAATAATAATAATAATAATAATAATAATAAAAGAAAAGGGCTTGTCTTAAACAAAAGTAAAACATATAACTGTTGACATGTATAGAAGATGACATACGCACATTTATATAGTTAAAATTATGCATGTAAAATGTATACACGGTATTGTAGTTATAGAACACTGAAAATATTCAGTGGGGGGTGGAAAATTCTTTTTTTATTATTTCTTTTACTTCTTTTTTAATCAGTGATTCACAAATGCTACGGACTTATTTGTGCAGTAATATGCGCTACATGGATTAGGATAAATTCTCTCTGATGGTGATTCGATTTTTAGTTATAATTTCCATCCAGATTTCGTAGATAAAATTGTATCAGGCTGCGATCCAATAGTTTTATATCACTAGTCGTGAAACGAAATGTGCGTGTGGATTGTCGACAATCACCGTTCTGTATACCATGCTAGTAATACCATGGGGTAGTAATATCATCATTAATACTATAAAGTGGCATTTGAAATTGTCAATCATAAAGCAGTATTGGTTCAACCGAAAAAAAGGAAACAAATTATTCACAATACTCACTTGAACTCCAACAAGATTCACTATTTTTTGTCCCAGCACTTTCATTATCATCTGTACAATATTGGAGTAAGTGCCACTCGTTGCACACTTCTGTTATTTTGCTCCCTCGTATTTGTAGTTTTTGCCGGTCTCGTCGACAACTTTTGACATTTTCAAAACTGCTTGTCATTAATCCTTGCCTCATATTCTCTTTTCCTAGAAATCATGCTGCTCAAATAGCACTGCACTAATACAGGTATGACAAAATACCAGTCTCAGTAAGGTCTGTGCACAGTTTTATGTATATAGTTGCTGTGCATGATCGTTGCCAACTGCAACGTCACAGAATACACGACAAATTGACGTAGAACGTAACGCACACGACGTTACATTGTAGAGTATATTGTGACTACATGATATCATGTCTGTGACGTTAACATTTGTAACAGTTCGCGCTGTTGTTCGGGTCAGATTTTCAAAAGTTGTTTGTTTCTCATTTTCTTGGTGGTAATTTCTGTTAAAATATTACAATAGTGAGTTTTGGGTTCATTGCTTGGAATTGTGCCATAATAACCATGCACGTTTATGTGGCTTATGTGCTCAGACAACTATGACGTATTTATTTTGTGACGTAACGTCTGTGACGTTCATCTTCTGCGCCCTTTCATCTATGACGTACGGTTTGTGGCATGCACAATCTTTACGGCAACAACAGCCATCTATTCTCTAAGAATAAACTGGTGCAAATATTTTTCTCAAATTTAAGATTCATGAGAGACTCACGCATTGGACAGGTAAGTTTTGTATTTTTGATATCGACATATGCATCCATGTTAGTTGTGTGGCTTTAACAGCTAACATTGATAACAATAAAACTGACAGAAATAGGCCACTAAACTATCAAAATATCAATAAAACATATAACAAATCTCCAAGTGAATTCTCACTTAAAATTGAAAAAAATTTTAAGACAAAACACATTTAAAGAAACATCGTGTATTTTATTGACTGAATGCAACCCCACTTACATCCGTTTTAAGTTCTGCCAAAAGCTTATAAAAATACAGCACGACCCACTGGCATTACGTCTACAAGTTAGAGGATCATGATTTGCAGTATTTCTAACAAAGAACTGTTCAAATGCAGACATCATGATCAAATGGCAATAAGTTAAATCACAAAGCCAGTCATTTATATATAATTACAAGAAGGAGCGGATGGATTCACGTTTGCCTTCTATTGTGTTTCAACTGAAATAAAATATAAATATGGCAGCTTTGGAGAGAACTGTATACAGTTGTTATAAAAATACCCAACATTTCAGCGTCAGTATTATTCTAAACCCCACTTACTACTTGGATTGTCTATTTTTTCATCCATGCAGACAGCATGTGGATAATGAGTCCCACATGAAAATATTCCCACCAACCATGATATTGACTCTACACCTGAGGAAGATCTCCAAGTCTTTCTTCACTTTCCACATAAAGCCTGTAACAGTTCAATGAACTTTTGAACAAGCACTGAGAACAAATTCTGTAAACTCTCCATCCTCAAAACACAATCTAAGCTATACTGCCCACAGCTTTCTCCGCAGCATCTCCCAGATCTGTAGCTGAAATTATTTTCATCCCACTGGCATCTAGAATTTTACGGGCTTCGTCCACATTTGTGCCTGGAAAAAAGAACAAAATACTAAATTTAGAGCATTTCCTTCTCTCATATCAAGAAAAAGTTAAATACTGATCTCGATTAAGTTAAAAAACTGAAGTGAAGGAAAGAAAACTTGTTTTTGTCTGACATACATTATATTAATTTTTAGGCGGGCTCTCCTCTGCCAGTGAATGTAGGTGCACAGGTATGTTGATCTGTATATCTGATTGCATTCAGATTTACAGTCCAGGTGTGTCAGCAATGGAAGTCCACTAGGAACTGTAGTCCGCTTCCCTTTACTTAGTACAGGTGGCATTAGTCCCATATACTAACCCCCAGCACTCCAACTAACCCTAACTTGTACCCATCTTATGGGACCCCAGACTTCCATTCCAAGGACTACAATTCATGTTACACTTGCGGTGTTGGATCGATCTATGTAAAACAATAATTTCATTGGGAATAAGCTCTTACTGCTATGTATGCTGCAACAATATTATACAAACATTGCCATGGTGTTAGTTCTCTTTGCTTACCTTCTAATCGTACTACCAGGGGGACTTGCAAATGAATGCTCTTCGCAGCGTTAGTGATACCCTCAGCAATAGTCTTACAGTTCACTATACCTCCAAATATGTTCACAAGGATGGCTTTCACCTGTAAATCAAGGTGTCATATATAACACTGTTTCAAAAGGAATAAACTTGTTCCGAGACATATCCTCAAAAATTGTCCCCAACTTGTAAATGTCTGTTATGTCAAATTTGTTAGACAAGTTTCATTTAAGCCAATGATTATGAATACATTTTTTACATCTTTAAAATAAAACTGTGTGAGATTTTATGTAACTGTCATAACAATAGAAACAAAGTATGCATTATGCCATTTAAGGCTTTGGAACCTAGAGGGACTCTCACTCACTCAAAAAAAAAAAAAAAAAAAAAAAAAAATGGCAGAAAAAATCTGAATGAAAAGCCAACAAGGTCATAAATTGGCAAACTGAAATGTTCTTGTAGCCTGCATTATGACAACATGCCAGGATGTGTGGCAACAGCTTACCTGGGAATCTTTTGTAATGAGCTTGAATGCGTTTTCAACCATGCTTTCTGTTACACCACCTCCCACATCTAGGAAGTTCGCAGGTTCCCCGCCCTTCAACTTTATAATGTCCATGGTAGCCATTGCCAGACCTGCTCCATTCACTGATGAAATAAACACATAGGAAGAGTGACCTCGGAGTTCTGAACTTATTACATTCCAAGAGACAATTACATTTGTTAGCCAATTTGTTTATTAGTCCAACACATGTATGCTTCAGTAAACATTGTAGCTATGTTATCAGTTTTGTGTTTTGATAAAAATGAGAGTACATTTTTTCCTGCTGGACAACACAACATAATGGTGCAATTATGCAAGAAAATGTAGCCTTATGGCACAGTTGGTAGGTCAATTTAAGAATAATAAAATTAAAAGTCTCAGGCAAAGAAAAAACTTCCTATCTCCTCTATGGTGATTGCCAAACAAATTCAAACAGCATGAATTAATAACAAACAATAAAAATAAAACATAAGCTACCTTTGTGTCAAAAAGTTAACTGCAGTGGTGGTCTTGTACATGTAAAATAATAGAAATAGGTCACCGTTTGTATGAATATTTTATGCAATTACTGTACCTTACCTAAGCATGCAATATTGCCGTCCATGCCAATGTAGTTGAGGTCAGACTCATTGGCTTCCCGTTCCCTCCAGTCCATCTCCGATTTGTCTTCTGCATCGAAGAATTTTTTCTGTCGGAACCTTGCACTGTCGTCAAAATTAATTTTGGCATCAAAGCAGATGACTGAAAAAATGATTATATATATATATTAAGTCAAAGAAAAAGTACAATTTTGTGTTTTTTTTCATATGCCAGAATATTAAAGTTAAGAGCGTAAATAAAATGACAATAAATAAATAAATAAAACACTCTTATTTACCACTAAGTGCTAAAATTGATATCACATTAACAACAGGAACTTTACACAGTAATTTACAGGGATTAGACAGAGGTGAATTCCTTGCCTGCACCCATGACTGCACTCGTATCAAAGGCACTTCTATCCCTGTTTCCCACTTCTTAAAGTCTCACCTTTGCCCTGTGTTGTCTCTGCGATGGGGTTCACCTCTATCTGTGTGGCGTCAATCTGTATGAACATGTTGTACATCTTCTTTATCTGGTCAACAGCCTGATAAATAGGATAAAACTTTTTGCTAAAAATTGACGAGAAACAAAAACAAGGCAACAAAGCTGTCAAATGGACAGACAGACATGTATATGATAACTATATGCCTGGTCTGTCCATAAAACAGAATGCACAATTTGCACGCACTTAAAAGAAAAACTTTAGCAAATATTATTTCAGTAACACATTTTCATTGTAATAGATATTAGTTAACCATGATGGTGTTCAGTTTTTAAGCATCAAGGCTCAAATGAGTAATATTTACAAATATGGCAGCTCCTAGCATCTAGCTCTCAAAAGCATTTTTAAATATTAAAAACAAGGCAGCAAAGCTGTCAAATGTACAGACAAAAAACAGAAAATAAAGATGCAAAATTGGTCATTTTGTCAATTTTGATGCAATAATAAATAATGCTTATAATAGCACTGTTAGTCAACACTGAATTTTAATCATGCACAACAGGTAACATGGTCAATAACAGGAGTGGACCCAGAGATATTTTCTGACAGTATTCCAAAGTATCTATGTTGATCCATCCTCCATTTTGATGGTCTTCCAACAGAAAAAAATAGATATCGGTCAATATAAACTTAAAAACCTGACCGTCTTCTGGAAGACTCAAGGTCTCAATCCATCCCTTCAATAAGACTGCAGTTTCAGGACCATGAGATTTCAAATTCACATGATGAAAGTCCCAATATTTGAGAAATGATGACAGTGCATAAAATAATATTACATAATGTTTAAAGACATAAAAACCAATACAACTGCTTATGTGGAAATACAGAAAGTGTGCAGAGCCTCAGGCGGACGGGAGTTAAAAGTCACAAATGCCAGTGTTTGAGAAAAAATTAAAAAGGAAAACATAAAACTAGAAAAGCACTCTGAGAGCGCAGACCTCTGCCAAGGCAGCAATTTTTGATTATTATTGATTATTGATAGATTATTGATCCAAACCACCATTAAAAACTAATCATTGTCCTCCTTGACCCACTTCTGACAGTTCCTGAAAATTTCATCAAAATTGGTCCATAACTTTTTGAGTTATGTTGATGACAGACAAACAGGAGTAAAAACATAACCTCCTTGGCAGAGGTAAATATAATTCCAATGAAGCTGCTATTCAAACTTTTAATCTTTGAGTTTGATATATATATATATATTAAAAACTTATTTGCAATATTAAACAAAATTTACCTGCATAATTATCACTGCTTCGTTATTATTAATCTAGCAGAGAGCTTAACCTTTGGGAGTTTACAGGGAAATATCAACAAGTGTGCTTTATGTAATCTCATTTAATGGCCTGTTAATTAGACAAATTACTTTATAACACTGAAATTAGCTAAGTGATACCTAAAGGAAATTTACAGACTGACCCTCTCAAAGGTCTTTCAGGTCCATAAGTCACAACTTAAGAAAAGCACAAAACAATAATGCACAAAATAGGAGACTGTATAAATACCACAATCTACTATTAAAAACATGGACATTAAGAAAATTTTATTACCACTGGGCTTCATGCCCATGGGAGCTCTATGTCCCACATTGAAAATTCCAGTATGTGAAAGATAAAAATTTTCACAAAAAAAAAAAAACTATAACTTAAGAAAATTAACTAATGAGACAGATTTTCCAACTGAGGCTGTATTTCAGTCCTATGTTTCTTTTCTTTAAGTGTGAAAAGAGCAAGGTTTTCCTTTCACGGTCACTACGGAGGCAGTGCCCAAAATAGGGTTTTGTTCAATTTTGATGCAATATTACACAATGCTTAACAGCATAATAACCATCAGTTTTTTAATGATAAAATAAAACTATCATGGATATTCAGAAAATGTGTCTGGCCCATAGAGTTCAGAGTCACACTTTGAAAAACAAATCTAAACAAGAGAAAACTGTATTGAAAAGAGTTTATTTCCATTTTCAACACCTTTTTTACATAAAACAAAATAATTGATTTACTGTCATTTTTATATGTTCAATTAAAAAATATGTTGTCAAAGGAAAAATATTAATAGAACAAATTTAAATGTCCAACTTGCTCCATTCTGAAATTCTTAACTTAGTGAATGATTGAATATGACGAACTGCAATGATATGAGTTCCTTTCCATTTTTGATACTTTATTACACAATGCACAATAAAAGGTGTATCGTCATTTTTATATTATCAACTAACAGTATTGCTAAGAAGCAGAAAATGTCAAAACAACACTTTTACATATCTAATTAGTTCCATAATGAGACTGTTAACATGCCTAAGAATTAAATCTGAAGAAAAACCACTTATATACAAAAAGGCTAATAACTTCATCAAAACTTAATTGATCAAGCTTATTTTCAAACTTGATCTGTATACTAGTCAGACTGATCACTCCTGTGAGTTTCAAGACAAAAGGCTGATTGGCTTTCCTTAAAATGCGTTATCAGTGTTGCATATATGCTGAATAATGGAAAAAAACAGCATAACTTTAAATTTGTAAAAATAGTCCAATCAAGCCAATTTTCGAACTTGACCTGCGTATTATTAATATTAATCAGTTCTGTAAGTTTCAAGCCAAAAGGTAAAATGGTTTTCCACTTATCATGTTATTGGTGCTGCATATATACTGAAAAAAGTGAAAAAAAAAGCATAAATTCCCTAAAAATGACCAAATCATGCTGATTTTCGAACTTGACCTGCATATTATTAATATTCATCAGTTCTGTAAGTTTCAAGCCAAAAGAAACAAGGCAGCAAAGCTGTCAAATGTACAGACAAAAAGCAGGAAATAACAAAATAGGCTACTGTCAATTCTGATGCAAAAGTACATTATGTTAAACTGCAAATTCAACATCAAATTTTAATTATGCTCAACAGGTAATACCAATGTAAGTAAAATGTGAAACAAGCATAAGGCTTCAGGCCCATGGGAGTTCAAGTTCACACTTTGAAAATGTAAAACTTCCAGAAAAAGAAGTCAATTAGACTGCTTTTCCAACTCAGGCTGCATTTTAGTCCTGTATTTCTTTTTTGAAAGTTTGGCAATCATAAGTAACATGGTTTTCCCATAATGGTCATCATGGCAGCAGCACCCAAAATTGTGTTTTCTTCT